CCCTTACAAGGTACGTGAGCCACTCGAGATAGAGGGCTACAGAGTAAGAGTTATAGTTTATGCGGATATGTGGGGAAGATAACGGTTAACTTTAGACTTGGACAGGTTAAGACTGTATTGATCGGGGGAAGCATCCTCTTGGGAGTAGTTTCCACAGACCAGCGGTTCGTGGAAATAAAGCAATGGGCGTGATTTGCTACAATATGCATGGAAGGATGGGGCTTAGCCGTGAAGGCTGCAACTGATGGAACAAAGGAATATCGTTAGCCTGAACAATTTCCATGGAAATAGAAAGAAGCTCGCGACGTTTCGTCTGTAGGTAGTAAAATAATTCATCACCCACAAGGACGCGGAGATGCTTTTGAACTCTATCGAGACTGGGAAGGGAAAACTAAACAGCTTCTAGCCATATATGGAAGCAGTACTCTATTTTTAGCCTGATCTTGCTAGGTCAGAGGTGAGATTGTGGCGGACTTCATCACATTAATTTAACTTTAGATTAAGAAACAAGGCTCACGCAAAAAAGGATAATCAAAAGACATTGTTACACATAAAATATGTATTTAACAAGATGTACAATATCAAACAACGATGGGAAGAAAAGCATGCATTTAAGTAAGAAAAGGTTGAATTAACCAAGAGTTGTCTCTCTTTAACTGTTATTTTAGTGTTCAATGAGAAATAGTTATTTGGTTCAAAGTTCACTGGAAGAATGTTCATGAGAGTCTCTTATAATGATTGTTCTTGAAAGATATTGCTGTATAAGAAAAGTTTATGTGAGTGTGTACAAGGTATGTTCAGCATGTGAGTGGTGTGTGTGAGTGAGAAAGTTGGTGCATGGTTTTAACTGTCGTGGATTCATTTGGTAGTTGAATTCTCACTAACTGGGATTAGAAAAATCTTGGCTTAAATAAGCGACTATAGGCTCCAAATCGTTGCGCGGGAAAAATATTCTTCACGTGCAAACGATCTGATTGGTTGGCATCGACCAATCGGCGAGCGAGCTTTGGGGAGACATAAGAAAGCTTCTGTGATCTGCTTCTCCCAAAAGTGAACAAAATTGACTACTTAAAAATAGAGCGATTACAAAATTGTCGCATTACTGCGATTTGTAAATTGCTTGTAGTAATGCAGTGGTAATTAATTAACCAATGAATGCTTGGCATTGTAAATGTGTGATTTGTATGTTTGTATGTTCGTGCGTAATAGATCCGCACAATGGCATTGATGACTAATTATTACCAATTCTTGTATGGAAGAGTCGATAGCATTGACTGCATTGTAATGTTGGTAGGTGACCAGGTAGATTTTATTGAGTCTTCCTCTCTTGTCATTTGACTTTTTCCTTTTCTCTTCTGGTGGCTTTAAAGTTTTTGGTTCTGACGGTGATGGAACATCACCAGTTGGTACAGTCTTGTGCTAGGGTTCCAAAAAAATTCAGGCTCAAATCCAGTGGCTTTCAGTGTTGTTTTGAGTTAGTTCTTGTATCTTCAAAGAGGGTAATCCCATGGTCTTTTCCCAGAAGAAAGTTCCATGAATAAGTCTTGACATGGAGACCTTGACTTTACCATTCTTGATACATGTTTTGACCATCAAAGTACGTGTTTAATGATCAGAAATTTGATGCTTTGGCTGTTGTCTCTTTGTTCGTCACATAGTAATTCCAATTGGTGTCCAAGATTGAACGAAGGTTTCGTTGATCTTAATTTTTGGATTTCACAACGATATAGAATCCAAGTTTCATAGCTATATAGCAAAGTTGAGGTGACAACAGCATTATAGGCCATAATTTTTGTTGCTAAGTTCGGATGTTTGGTTAATCAGCTTTCCAAATGCCCTGCATGCAGTTCCAATTCTGTGTTCCACATCCTTTTCTGAGATGCACTTGTTTAATAAAAGGCTGCGTGGATATAGAAAATGCTCTACTTGTTCAAGAGGTGTATCTCAGATAGTAATATCAAGATCTGGTAAGTTGGTATTTTGGTCCCGGATGTGCAAGGAGCTTGATTTTTTTTTTATGTTTACTGTAAGACCAAAGTGATGGTAAACAAACGGCAAAGTTGTTCACAGACTGTTCGATTTTTTTCTTTTCGATGACAGAGGGCAGCATATTTTTTGTTGCTAAGTTCAGATTTATTAACCAATGAATGCTTGGCATTTTATATGATTTGTATTTTTGTATGTATGTATGTATGTTCGTCTGTAAATGATCCGCACAAGATCGTCTACGTCTGGTTATTTAGATTTTTGCTCCTATATACCGTTGAATCATCAGCACGGATATTAACGAATGATCGGAGTATACTCTTAGGCCAATCATTTATGTAAAGTAGAGAGTTGAACTGAAAAGCAAACCTTAGGGTACGTCTATGTTGATCGCTTGGGGCTCAGAGGACTGGCCATTAACAAATAATTTCAGCGACCGACTCGTTAGAAATGACTTTATATTTGAGAAGGCCCTTCCAATTGTTCCATAGTTGTAGAGTTTCTACAGTAATCCTTTATGTTACACCTTGTGAAAGACTTTCGTATATCAAATGCGGTGTATTTTATTGTCAAGTGCCTCAGTGATTCTGGGAGTAAATCGCAGTTATGATGGCAACAGTGGATTGGGCCTTTTGCACATCGCAGACAGAAATTCAATGTTTGTTGAGATTAAGGCTTTAACGTTTTCGATCTGTTTACGAATATAGTTGCCAATTAATAATTTGAATATAATTCATTTGAAACTAAAAAAAACTTGCTTCTGCTACAGTCTTAATTACAATTCCAGAATGTATCCAAAACATTTGAGTGCTACTTAAACCTTATTTTGCATATAAACCTTATTTTGCATATAAACCTTATTTTGCATATAAAACTCATTTTGGATATAAACCTTATTTTGCATATAAACCTTATTTTGCATATAAACCTTATTTTGCATATAAACCTTATTTTGCATATAAAACTCATTTTGGATATAAACCTTATTTTGCATATAAACCTTATTTTGCATATAAACCTTATTTTGGATATAAACCTTATTTTGCATATAAACCTTATTTTGCATATAAAACTCATTTTGGATATAAACCTTATTTTGCATATAAAACTCATTTTGGATATAAACCTTATTTTGCATATAAAACTCATTTTGCATATAAAACTTATTTTGGATATAAACCTTATTTTGCATATAAACCTTATTTTGCATATAAAACTTATTTTGGATATAAACCTTATTTTGCATATAAAACTTATTTTGCATATAAACCTTATTTTGCATATAAACCTTATTTTGCATATAAACCTTATTTTGCATATAAATTTTTAGACAACCCAAGAATTTCTTGATTTCTGCTTAATAAACGTGAAACCCTAAGTATTTCCAATGTTAAATCTTTAGCGACATCAGAAATCATTTTTCTTAAAATAACCTTGAAAAATTCCATGTCAAATATTTTTGCGTCTGACAATACATACAAACACACACACATATATATATACATACATTTTTATGTTTATACATTCTTTTTAGAGAGACAAATATTTAAGTATATGCTCTGTTTATAATACACAGTATTAAACAACATTCACCGGCCTGAATGTCCGAGAAATTTTTCATAGAAAATATGCGTCCTCCGACAAGAATCGAACCTGTATCCTATATGGTACCGTCGTATAGCCCGACGTGCCTTTAACCGATTGTGCCACAGAGAAGAATTCGGTTAGCAAGGTCGATTTTACTGTTTTTAAACAACAATCTTCCATGATTCTCTCTCGTACATTCATATCAGCTCGATGCGTATCCAAATGTAAACAAATGACATCACACATTATGAAATAGACAAAGTCCGACAATTATTTTAAGACATTCTTAAAATAATTGTTGAACTTTTTTGTCCATTCCATAATATATATATATATATATATATATATATATATATATATATATATATATATATATATATATATATATATATACTGGAGCACTATAGTGAAAGGAATTTTTAAAACGGTAGCCGCTCCTGCTTATAACGCATTGCTCTTCATATGTCTTTGAAAGAAACTTAGTAAGAATTACTCCTCCTTCAGATAGATAGATATAGATAGATAGATAGATAGATAGATAGATAGATAGATAGATAGATGTGAAAAGAAATGTATTAGATATGCATGAAAAGCAGGAACATCTCTATCCATAGATAGATAGATAGATAGATCAAAAGCTAAAATACAATAGATAGATAGATAGATAGATAGATAGATAGATAGATAGATAGATAGATAAAATACAGTATCCAAACAGACAGTATAAAGGATCAAACAAAATTATATTATAAAAGTGACAGAAAAAAACTGATCCAGGTTATTAAAAAAAAGACAAAAGCCTAAAGAAAAATGATGGAAAAACGAAAAGAAATTACTGAAACGCTGAGCTTGTTTGGAAAGATGAAATAATGAAAGACTACTCCAAAAATGACGAACGAAAACAGAGAAAGAAGTGAACGAAAAACTGAACGGAATACAAACGACCTCTCGGCGAATGATTAGAATAAACAGTCGATAGAAGAGCGGCGTCGAAGTATGTTGTTCTATGTCTGTGCTCCCGCCAAACGATTAGAGCCGGCGACATGTCGGCCATAGTTGACACTCAATACCGGAACCTCACCCCAGTACTTCCGGTGTAGCTTTTCCCCATATAATTGAGACGCTGCATGTCGTCCTTAGATAAGCGGAGACCGGCAGATCCCACCTGTGAGATGAATAATTACGATTGTGCAGTTAGAGCGATGGATAAAATAAACATGAATTCAATGCTATAATATTACCGTCCAATCTGATGGTATCGGCTTTTTTTTATATTTTATTTTGTTATAGTGAATTACAGATTAATAGCGGCTTCTTCTCGGATTAAGTGTTCTTTTTTGGATAGTTGATGAACATAATAAGATAGATATTTGAAGAGACGTGAAGCTAATAAACACTTGAAAAGATACCCATCACCCCCTCGCTTTTTAGATAGATAGATAGATAGATAGATAGATAGATAGATAGATAGATAGATAGATAGATAAAGAGACTTGAAATAGATAAGTAGTCGTAAAGATATTGATCTCTTCCAAACCGCTTAGATAGATAGATAGATAGACAGATAGATAGATAGATAGATAGATAGATACTTGAAATAAATACACAATCACAAAGAGATTGTCTCCAACCCACCTTAGATAGATAGATAGATAGATAGATAGATAGATAGATAGATAGATAGATAGATAAGAGACTGGCATAGATAGATAGATAGATAGATAGATAGATAGATAGATAGATAGATAGATAGATAGATATACTTGAAATAAATACACAATCACAAAGAGATTGTCTCCCACCCACCTTAGATAGATAGATAGATAGATAGATAGATAGATAGATAGATAGATAGATAAGAGACTGGCAAAGATAGATAGATAGATAGATACTTGAAATAAATACACAATCACAAAGAGATTGTCTCCCACCCACCTTAGATAGATAGATAGATAGATAGATAGATAGATAGATAGATAGATAGATAGATAGATTTTTCTACTCTCCGTTGGTTTTCTGAACAAGAGTAGAGGTTTATCCCTTGTTCCGCGTTTAGGATTTGGCTTCTAAATTCTTCGCATTCTCGTTCATTTCCAGCAGCCCATTGTGCCTTAGTGGCATTATTGCCTTGTCCTAGGTGAACTGATTAAAAAAAAAAACAAACAAAGAAAAAGAAGACAGATATGAACAAATTTGAATTAGGTCGTCAATAAAAACCATACGCGCATCTATCTCTCCTGCGCGCCAGTTTAGACCTGAACAAAGATAGATTCTCACGGAAAGGATCTGGTAAAACACAGTGAACCAAGTTAGAGGCTATCGGGTGTAGTTTGACCTAAAGAGTGATGGGCTCCGCCAGGTCTACTTTCCGATGATACATAGGAGTGGAGACCTCTCCTACTTTCAGCCTCTATTTGAGTTGTGGAGTGATGCTTAGTAACACACCACAACTGGTCATGGAAATGATAATGACTCCGAAATAAAAAAAAAACATTAAAATTTGTTTCACGTTTGATTCTACAAACTAAACAGCCATAACCGCCATTTTGTAAATGGCGTCCAATGTGAGTATCTGTCTTTTAATTGAACAGTTAATAAAACTGTCTTAATACTAAGTCTCATTGGTTCGATATAGTCAAATTGGCAGTCCTTAAAAATGACCTAAAGTCCGTTGTTAAATGGGGCAAGCTATGGCTTTTTTTAAATTTTAATACCACCAAAATGTTAATTTTAATCGTCTGAGAAAAACCGTTTTAACTTCCATCAATATGTCTGATGCTAACCTCCGGGGGTGCGGGTTGGGGGGTGACTCATTGCACCTTCTCAAACTAATGAAGAGGAAAGATCTGCAATTAGAAAAGTTGCTACACTGGTTCGAGCTAAGCATTTTTCCCCCTCCGAGGTCTATCTTACTTATTTAAAAGACTACCATTTGTCTTTGCACTGAATATTGTTGCAACTTCTGGTTTGGTACTCCTGCTATATATTTAAAGATTCGTGATACAATTCAGAGAAAAATCTGCAATGTTATTGGTCCTGACCTGGCATCTTGGTTTCAGAGATTTTTCCACTGCGCTAACTTAGCTCCCCATTGACTTTTCTATAAATATTTTCATGGTAATTGTTCTGATAAACTTTTCTCTGTGGTACCTAGACTTTATGAATTTAAGCGCAGTACTAGATTGGCGAAAAGATCATTTTACAGTTGAAATGGCTAGATGTAACCGTAAGTTCTATGCTAACAGCTTCTTCTTTCGCAGTTCTCGCTTGTGGAACTTTCTTTTGGCTATTTTGTTTTCCAATCAATCTTCAAAAATATAAATGCAGTGGCGAGCGTTATCCTGTTCTTTTATTGTCTTCTCTCTTTAATACTATATTTTTTTCAATAACCTGTTGCGTCTTAGTGGCTTTATTGCCTTGCTTGGGCCGAAATGATTTTAAAAAGTAGTTGACATTTCTCAATGGTAAAATCATGCCTATACGTCATTCCCCCGGCACTGCATTGATGCAGACGGTCTCCCATAGATTCAGGAAGCGAATGGAAATATGTTCCAACTTTCGTTATTTGTGGACTCATTTTAATACATTTAATCGCAGGCTTTGATTGACACCAGCTGACTGGCAGACGATAATTATTCGCTGGTGCGCATGCGTCAATGATAAACTAGGGGTGCTGGCATCTGCATATGCAAACAGTTTACCATTTCAGGCGATTCTCGTTAATTCCATCTTAAGTGCACGAACACCTGCACCACTTTCTTAAGTCTACAAATTAATCGATAGCAGTCAGCTGTGTCAACTGACACACGCACACACGAAAACCGTACCTCCACGAGTTCATAAGACCCGTTTTATAAACGAACAAAAATAGATCAATAAGGAGAATAAATGTAAGTGTTTTCATTTTATTTTATTTTTTTTTTTTTTTTACAAATAATAATGGCTTCCGTTATTGCCAATTACAATCCTAAAACAGCGCTCGTGATACGTTTAATAAAAGTAGGAACAACGCTATACGAGGCCGGAATTAGAAATGTGTCATTGATAGCAACAGAAGCTTGAACTATTTTTAACAATTAGAATCTTCATAGGATGTCACATTGTTGAAGTTATTGATAACATTTTTTGTAGAGGTTTACAAATTTTACGTTTCGTTTAATTTCGCAAATCAATCGTAATTTTTTTGGAAATTTTCATTAATTTGTTTTTTGAAAACGCAATGAAAATTTATTGTACTAAGCTACGCACCTTAGTAAAACTAATTGTACTTTGTACCCCCTTAGATGTTTGTACTTCTCTCCAAAATTGGGTTTTCATTGGCCAATGTATGGCTATTTTAGAGGGTGTGACGGACGGAGTAACGGAAATCACAAAATTTTATATATATATATATATATATATATATATATATATATATATATATATATATAATGAAATGGACATAGTTCGACAATTATTTTTTACGTTTATACATTCTTTTTATAGATACAAATATTTAAATAAATGCTCTATTAATAATAAACAGTATTAAACAACATTTACCGGCCTGAATGTCCGAGAAATTTTCATAGAAAATATTCGTCCTCCGACAGGTATCGAATCTGTATCCTATACGGAACTGTCATATAGCCTGACGTGCCTTTAACCGATTTGGCTACAGAGGAGCGTTCGGTTAGCAAGGTCGATTTTACTGCCTTTAAACTTCAGCCTTCCATGATTCTCTCACGTACATTCATATCAGCTCAAAGCGTATCCAAATGTAAACAAATGACGTCACACATTATGAACTGGACAAAGTCCGACAATTATTTTTAAGATATTTTTATGTTTATACGTTCTTTTTATAGATATAAATATTTAAGTAAATGCTCTGTTTATAATAAACAGTATTAAACAATATTTAGCGGTCTGAATGTCCGAGAAATTGTCATAGAAAATATGCGTCCCCCGACAGGATATTTTTGTGGCCTAGGTTGTCCTTGCTAAAGCCTGACGGCGGTTTCATCGAATAGCCGTTTACTTCTTGCCTTATCAACAGGATAAGGCGAAAAGTACTGTGAATTATTGTATTGTAGAAATGCTTAAAAGTCAGGAAGAAAGGTATGCTTAATGGTCAGGAAATAGGTTAAAACTTTTTGACACAATAGTCCTTTTATATTAATCTGTGTGACTAGTTAACAGGAAAAGGAATAATATTTCGCCGATGCTAAAATGTAAGGAACTCTTTTTGTTTGAGATTTTCACTGTATGGACTGAAGTTCTTAAGATGGCCACCCACATTGCGAAGTAGAATTATTCCCTTAAGAGGCATTAATGGTTACAGTAAATAATTGAAACAAAGTGTCTAACAAAAAAATTTGTTTGGATGGCATAATGCAGATATATATATATATATATATATATATATATATATATATATATATATATATATATATTGAATTAACAAGAACTACTGCGCATTTCTTGATGAATTACAATTTAACAACAGACGACAATTAGACGACAAGAACGGATTATTAACAGACGACAATTAGACGACAAGAACGGATTATTGTAAAAATAAAATGAAAGTACAGACATATTATGTGTTTATTATTTAATGATGTATTATTTTATTAGATATTATATTTAATGATGTATTATTTTATTATATATTATTTATGTCGGAGGACGAATATTTTCTATGAAAATTTCTCGGACATTAAGGCCGGTAAATGTTGTTTGATACTGTTTCGGCTTACATAAGCCATTATCATAGATGACAATTACATTACAATATATTAAACAATACACTGACAAAGCAATAATGATAGTATGTTTTTGTTTACATGGAGGATTTCCAAGCAACGACAAAGTATTGTAATTTTCTTTCTTCTTTTAATAATGATGCTATTTAATAATGATGCTATGAAAAGAATTTACACAAAATAAATAGACAAAACTTGTCCATATTATTTAATGAAACATGCATCAATATATATATATATATATATATATATATATATATATATATATATATAATATATTATTATAAATATAATAATATATATATATAATAAATATATATATAATAAATATAATAAATATATATATATATATATTATTATATTTATAATAATGTGTTATACATATATATATTCTATTCTATATATATATATATATATATATATATATATATATATATATATATATATTTCTCGGACAATCAGGCCAGTAAATCTTATGAATACTGTTTATTATAAAACAGACCATTTACTTGAATATTTGTATCTATAAAAAGAACATATAAACATAAAAAATATCTTAAAATAATTGTCGGACTGAGTCCATTTCATAATGTGTGACGTCATTTGTTTACATTTGGATACGCTTTGAGCAGATATGAATGTATGTGAGAGAATCATGGAAGATTTTAGTTTAAAGACAGTAATATATATATATATATATATATATATATATATATATATATATATATATATATATATTGTTGAATATAACAGACAGTGAATGTCAATGATTTTCGATCATGAGCCGTTCTAAACTTCGGTATTTATCATTTCACCCACGGGAAAGGAATATGGCACAAGGCCGGTTTTATTGTGGGTTTCTCCGAGCCCGTAGGCTCGGCCAAAAAATAGCCTTTTGAAGCCGATTAGACGGGTTCAGGCCCTGTCTACCTCCCCGGACGAAACCTTGCCCTTCGGCAAAGCCTCGTCCGGGTTCCTCTCTGCCTTTGGCGGAGAGTTCGACAGACGTCGGAAGTCAGCTCAAGAACTTCTAAACTTCGTATCCTTGCTTTAATTTCGGGCGTCAATAAGGACAAAAATTGTCCAACGCATGGATATATATTTTATTATGCTGTTCCTTTTTTATTATGCTGTTCCTTTTTTTATTATGCTGTTCCTTGATCTAGGCTTCTGGCTCACATGACCCATCTTCAGAGTGGTTATAGAGACATATAACCAAAGATATTCACCATCAAAGATGATATTATCTTATGTTGACATGCGACGTAA